TCACAAAAATAAAAAATGTGYGAAAGCTACTAATATTGATAAAGAGAATGAAGAAACATTTTATGATAGTATGCATGCTGTTCAACAACATATAGATATTAACGCCGGAATCGTAAAAATGTGTGCTGAGGGGAAGAACAATGTTAAAAGCGGTATATCTAAGAAAGATGGGTGTAGATATAAATTCGAATATGTTAAAAAAGAAGATTTACCTGAAAATTATAAAARATCTGCTAACAAACGTCCTAAGAAGAAAAAAATAAAGATAGTCAGAAATAATTAATATATTTGACTACCATAAGATAGTAATAACATCATAATATTTTATAATGTGTCTATTAGATACATTATAAATAAATAGCTATTATTTTAAGCCATAATGACACACCATGTCAGGTTAACGGAATATGTACCAAACTAAACCAGTCACAACAACAGTAATAACTGCTAGATTATTTTCGTGTTTTTCAGATGATGGTGATGGTTTTATAACAGGTTTATTAAAATTATYAGACGTATCTGTTTTATTCGAATTATCAGATGTATTCGTTTGTTTATCATCTGTTTTTTGATGGGGTAATTTAACCTTTGAATCTCCCATATTATTCTTGGGTATTCCAATTGATTTAACATCATTATTGATATTATTTATACCAAAACTCATATCATTTGTAGCCCGTTGGAGTTTATTATTATATCCAATAGTTGATTCAGTATTTATAACTAAACTAGATGGTAACAACCAACAACCTGGTGATATCGCTAAATCGAGTTTTACTTTTGCCTCTTGAATCGCAAACTGATACCTTTGGATACTTTTCGAAATATCTTTTTCAATTACTGAATTTTCAAATAGCTTTAAGAATACGTCTTGAGTTTCTTTAGCTGAACCTGAATCACCAATGATTGACGACCTAGTGTTAACCTGTGAGCCAAGAACGCAATAAACGAATGCTTCTATACTTTGGTTCAATCGTGACAATCCTGCTTTTGTTATACCATGACCTTTCTGAGGTATGAACCAGTTATATTGACTTCGATCCTTATGAGTAGATGTATAGTATGCTGTAAGAGAGTCTTTATAAGGACTCCTATAATGAAAATTAAACATATCTTCATCTGTGGATTTACCTTTGAATCGGAAATCTGGGTTGGATGAATCGATACCAAACTCATTACAAAGTTTTGCTACCGCGCCTTTATTATATCGAGTACCATACCAAACAAAATTATTATCCCATGGTAGTGGTACTTGAAGATCATTTAGAATAGATCTAATCGTGTATACGACATGAAACCTTAGAATAGAGCCGATTTGTGTGTCAGTCTCAATAATGTCATAGCTAATACCACAACCGCTTGTTGCACACCATACAGCAAAATTAAGCTGTTGAGACCAATATTTCATATTTGGTTCTTCCATCCATGTAGTGTAATCACTTACATTTTGTACAGTTGGTGGTGTTAGTTGGAATACATTGTTAAGAGAAACAGAGAAGCTTTTAACAGGTGTTACATATATTTTGAGTGGGTGTAATAGTCTAACAATATCATCTGCCTTATCGTAAACCCCTACAGCTGGAATTGGATAGCTCTTATTAGTAGYCATAACCGCCTTTGGGAATTTAGATCCAAGAAAATGATGAATGTTTTCTGGTTCAGGACGATGTCCTTTATACGCTGGATATTGGTATAATACTCTTGCTAGACTACCATCTTTATTAAACGGATCACAATAATCACCATTGAACAAAAAACGCACATCACCATCTTTATTTTCTATGAAACGTTGATCAATATTGTTTGGATATCTTTTTTGAAATTCTGTCCACTTCATTTTATATTATGATTTATAATGAGATAAACATTTATACGTTTAAATTCTTATCATATCTAATCTTATACATATAACCACCAAAGGGGTCTCTGTTGAAGGAAATTGTTATTTCTTTGGATTTACGAGTTGATCCACAAGCTCCTTTTTCAATTCCTCTCTCAACTTGTTCACATCCACATCGTTTTTTAAAAAAGTTTCATTTTTCTTACGTCGGATACTTGATTTGAGTTTTTCATATTTAGTTAATTCACCCATGATAAGATCGAATTCTTGCTCATCAATATGATTATTATGCAATGCTTTTGAGACGAGATCGGTTATACTATTTTCCTTACTTTTAATAAGCTGGATAGTTTTGTCATGCTTTGAAATCTTTTTAGTCAGTTTCTTTGTCATAACACCACAACCAGCTGAAACCAATCCTAGAACACCCCCTATAGCACTGAGAGGTACACCGACAACAATACCTGGTCCTGTCAGACTTGTTCCGATTCCTGAAGCTGTTAGTATCCCACTGAGAGTCCCCATAGTTATTGTTGTTCCATGGAAAAGTGATCTTAATCTTGAATACTTCTTTCGTACATGTTCATAATGCTTGTGTTCTTCTCCTAGACGAGATAAGACCATATTGACCTTATGCAATCTGAAGTTTTCACCTGTTTGTTTTTCAGGTAATTTAGGCTAAATGCAGTCTTGATTCATTTCTATTATAATATATATATTAAATTTATTTTTATACCAGTTCAAGAGTCATTATCAGAGGATAAATACTACTAGTTATTTTTTGATTATTAATATCTGTAACCCAAAAACTTAATCTATTGATAAAACTATTATTGATTAAAGGTACGTATAAGCATGTATTAGGATTATATACGACAACGCTACTAGATGAACTAAGTCTAATATGTGATAAGACATGACCATGATCATTATTTAGTATAACTTGATTACTATCGATCATATCACAGTGAAGGAATATATCWTTAATATTTACACCTAGATTGTTAAAAAACGAACATTGTATGAGTCGTATAGTTTTACAATTACTAATAGGGTTTTTTAGGGATAGCGTGAATGTAGATGCGTCTTGAGTTAATCCGATATACAGTATTGTCATTATAATATATACTCAGTTTTTCTTTTTATATCTCTCTATGACATACAAGACAACAGCAACTATGAGAAGACATGCATTTTTAGCAAGAAAGCCAACAACCTCCCCAGCTGTTCTAAATAAAAAAGAAGCTATCGCCCCCACCATACCAGGTAGTATTTGACCCAACTTTTTACCAATGGCCTTCAAACCGTTTCCAACACCCTTTGCAACACTTGTTAAACCAGCTTTCAAGCTATTAATGATGACACCTATGATAACACCAACAGCAGTAGCAATGGCTGTTACCGTGAAACCATATTTCTTAAAAATTTGTTTTATACGCTCCCTCAATGAGAGTTTTTCCTCTATTTTTTCATTCKGTTCTTGTAATTGTTCTATTTCTTCTTGTAAATCATTGATTTTTTGAKTTATACCTTCATTTGTCTTCTCTTTGGTTGTTATAACTGATGTAGTATCATCTTCATTAATTTCTACTATCTTTTCCTCCAACTCGGATATTTGTTCAGCTTTTTTATCAATAATATCTTCATTTTCTTTTATTAATGTATCTGCTTCCTTTCCTAAAGCATTCTTGGTTATATTAGGCAAATTTTTGTTTAATGTTCCATCTTTTTTATAAATACTTTGCCAAGAATTCTTATCCTTTACGCTAATTTCAATCTTATGATCAGCACCATATCGAAGATTAAATTTATCATTGACAGTATTTTCAGGAAATAGTCCATCAATTTGATTTTTAATCATCTTATACTCTTCAATATCAACAATAGATGGTCCTAGATTATCAGTTATCGTTCTAGGTGCATTATTTAGACCATCTAGATAGTATATCTTAGCACCTTTTTTACTCTTTAATCTTAATTCTACTCGATTATAATCACCTATATCAAATAAGAATGTAGATTTGTTAGGATCCCAGTTGGGATACAACTCTTTTATTCGATTTTCAGCTTCTGTAATTCTATCTTCAGCTTCTTTAATTTTATTTAGCTTTTTTTCGAGCTCATCATCATTCTCTACTATATTCTTAAGCTCCATATATTCTGGAATATTTTGTCCCTTGTTATTTATCCTAAAAGTATCATTGATACGATTAAGAGCATATTTGAACCCATTACCAAAACGTTGTTTAAGACGGTATAAATAACTTCCACTGTCTTCACCATCCTGAGGTATTAGATTATCTTGTTCATTATCAATAACTTCATTTAAATCATCTTTTCCCTCTTGGGTGAGTGGATCGAAATCAATTCCACCTGCTTCCATCAAGTATTATATATTATATAATACTAAACAGTTTTTATACCAATTTTATCTTACAAGAATTTTGATGCTAAATAACCAGCACCCAACATACCACCACCGACATATATMATTTCATATTGTTTTTGTTTACTACTTGGTTTGTAATAGTCGCTAAACTTTGGTTTATTCTCAATATCGAATTTGATATCTGGATGAGCTTGACTATATAGTTTAAACGCCATATCTGTGTTGTTTAAAGATTCATCCGCGTTTTTCTTATCCTCATACTCCTTAGCTAGCCAGTCTTGGTACGCTTGACGTTTCTTCTCATACTCACCCATTTGTTGTTGATACGCTTCAAGAGCCTTGTCATGTCTTACTTTCTCTTGATCAACTCTTGCTGAATTCCCATCCAGAGACTTAGCTAGATAAGAGCCACCAACGAATGCTGTTGCATTGAGGACGGCCCCTGCTATCATTACAGCTATTGTTGCCATTTATATTATATTATAATATTAATTTTTTATACCAGTTTAGATAGAAGTTGGGATTTTCTTTTTATCTTCGAGATAGGTTTTAAGATACATAGAAGCTCCAAGGACGACCACCCATTTCCCGTAATTAGGCAGGGAAGATGATGGGTCATTGATGAATGGTTCCTTGAGGATTTTTTTCCCGACGTAACCAATCCCAGAAGCAAGACCGACGATGACGACAGCATCCATAGTTGTTTTCACTAATTTGTTTTCTGTAGTTGACATATTTATATTAATAGTAAACAATATAATTTTATACCATTTAATCCATTCCAATTCTCTTGGGAATTTTCGATGGTTTTTTTACCGTCTTAGGAGGTAATTCTAATTCATTCATAGATGAAGGAACTGATAATTTAGGTTTTTCATCTGCATTAATAACAGGAGGTGCTTTCCATTCAAATTTATCCTGTTTTCTCCATCTAAAATATAAATCGACAGCTGTAAGAGTTATTCCAACCATTGTCAATGCTGTTGTTAGTGATATTTCCGGTATCCATTTAGAATTACTAATATCTTCTTCTACAACATTTTCATGTTCCCTCTCTTGTTTAAGAGCTTGTTTAGCTCTCTTATGATATTCTGCTAATCTTTTTCCTGCAGCTACTTTTTTAGGATCCTTAACACGTTCTAGTTTATGTTCTGGTTCTTTAGTTATTTGATCATGTTGTGTACTATCAGTTTCAGACATTATTATATTATACATAGAATAATAAAATTTTATACCATTTTACAACTCTCAAGAGTGCTCAAGACTGTTCAACAGTGCTTAAGAGTCTGCTCAACAGTGTTTAAGAGTCTGCTCAAGAGTGCTCAAGACTGCTCAAGAGTTTTATCAACAGTATCCTGAATATATTTATCCATATCATTAATAYCGTTAGTTGGTTTATTATTAATGAGATTATTAAATTCTACATGTTTTGCAACTTGTAAAAGACAGCTAGCAAGAGCAACGAATCGTCCACCTTTTAATACGAGATATCCAGCTGCATTAGAAAGCTCATTTCTTATCATTGGATTTTCCTTCAAATCAGAACATAGTGATTCCTTATCATCGATAGGTAATACATAACTTGCTAACTCAGTAGCAGTCTCGAGGGTTGTGTCAACTAATGATCCTGTAACTTGGTTACCAATAATAACTTGATATCGGTTATAGTACTTCTCAACATCTTTGGATGGTAATCTCTTAACATCTCCAAGAGACATCTTTTGTCCTGTATAAGACTCTATTGTACCAAGAACAGATAGAATAGATAGTTGCTCACGTTTCTCCTCTATCTCATCAGTATTATCATCTTTCTTAACCGTTGATTTTCTTTTTTTACTTGGTTTCTTTTCCTCTATAATTGGTTCTTCAGGTATTGTTTCTAATTTATCATTAGCATATTGATCAAGGATTGAATCCATATTATATATTATATTAATGAATTAATTTCTTAAACCATTTGGAATCTCCATGTAAGTGTGAAATGGATGACGTAGACAGAAACAAATTCTAGAATATTTTTCAGATTTTAGCACCTCTATATACTTTTTCCGTTGCTCTAAATCTAATCCACCACCATATTCATCGAATAATATCTGATTTGATATTCTGTTTGGTGAAAAGAAACTGATTATACATCCAACGTTTTCACGAAACGGTTTAGCAATTGCAGTCAATTGTTGTGTTAATRCCCAAACACTAATATTTTCATGTCTACCGCTAAAGGCAAGATTGATAAATTGATTAGATCTCTGTTTTAGATCTTTACTGAATGCACAATCATCGAGAATAATTAGTGTCTTATATCCTGAAAATACCGTAATTATATCAGATAAGATTTCATTTATTTCATCTACATTGCTTGCATCAGGTTGAAAAACATAGAATCTAGGGTCATCATTACCAAATCCTTGATATGTGCTATTTTTAGAATGAGTTGGGCATATTAAAATGATAATCTCGAATAAATTTCTATATGAACCTCTTAGTGTATCTACTAGAAATTTAGTCTTACCACAATTTGTAGGACCTGTTATTATACAGTGGAATGGTAACTTATCTCGTAATTCTTCCATATATAAAATATAATACTAATTTTTTAATACATTATAGATTTTACATCACTATCTTCGATTTCCATCAAAGCGTCGGCTACCACATACATGAAACAATTAATAATTCCTGATCCACCTGTTGTTCTATTCATTTTTAGTTTTACTCCGTCTTTAGTGCTATTCATAACGAGGCCGTTACCATGTGTTTGATTGTCTGGAAAAGTACGTAGATCAATCCATAAGGCAAATTTATCATAATAAAAATCTTCTTGTGTAATATTATCAGTATCACCAAATCGTGATCTAATCGAGTTCCAGAAATCCGTTTGTATCATCCCTTTACTGTAAACTTTATTAGGTAAACCATCAACATTAATATCAATTTGTGTAATATTTGGGTTGACGAATTTTTCACTATCTCTCGTGCCTGCAAGATATTGTTCTATGAATAGAAAAAGGATGCCACTCATTGATCGTCGTGGGATGTTAACATCCTCATTAATCGTAGAATTAGTAGCCTTATTAATATTAAACGTCTTATGCAACAATATATATTCATAATAGAAACCTTTACCAATCTGGTAAGTTGAAAGGGCTTCCCGTGCGAGATAATCACTATTGATACATTCATATTCAAGCTCAATATTTGAAAGACTGTATTCCCAAGGATCAGCTATATCACTCGTAATAACAATCTTTTCACTTTTTGGGAGTGTAATCTCAAAACTAATGTTATCGGATAGTGCTTTAGCGTATAAAACACCATGTTCGTCTAAAATGGGATGATTGATCGGTAATCGATATCTATCACCATATACCTCAGATAGCGCAACCTCTTTTAAATTTGTAGTAACCTTATCACCTGCATTAGTTCTTAGCTTTCTCATGTTCAGGGATGAGACTCCTTCTCTCAGCATGCTTTCGCGTTCCCTTTTCAATCTGAATAGATCATTATACGTTTGATACAAATCAAAACGTTGCGTATTTTGCAAAGTTTCACCACCATATGAGACCTTCATATGTGAATTTAGAGCCTTACCCAAATTATTAACAACTGTATTATTAGCATGTCCACCTGTAGCCAATTTTAGTTTAAAAAGTAGTCCTAATGAACCTGGAACATATACAACATTATTAGTTAACTTTGGTATGTGTATATACAATGTTTCTTCTGGTTTTGCTGAACTTGGATTAAATGTCACACGATGAAGTGTCTTCTCAGCTTTTAGTCCAAATGGTTGTTTGTAAGCTCTATTTACATCTAATTTGTCTGAAATGCTTGTCATTCTATATATTACTTATACAATTATTGTTTTATATTGTTTTATACATGAACAATAAAAAACTATCAAACCATTATTATAGTCCTCAAGGTTATTGGAAGGGATATGAAGCTATCGATAAATTATCAAATTCCACTAATATTGAAAAGAGTATTGKAAAAGAATGGTTGGAAAAACAAGCATTGTGGCAGATATACTTACCAGCTCCTAAATACATACCTAGATACCATTGGGATGTTGAAAAAGTGAATCAAATACATCAAGCAGACTTATTATTCTTACCCCATGATAGAGTAAGAAGAAAGTCATATAAATATTCACTCGTAGTCGTTGATGTTGCAAGTAGGTACATAGATGCTGAGCCTTTGACGTCTAAGTACTCAACAGAAGTATCCATGGGGTTTGAAAAGATATATTCCAGACGTTTAAAATGGCCAGAATCAATAATCGTAGATCCTGGTACTGAATTCATGGGTGAAGTTACGAAAATAATGAAAAAAAGAGGAATAATTGTGCAAAGATCGGAAGCTAATAACCATAGAGCCCAAGCACTGGTCGAGCGCGCTAATCGAACCATTGCTGAGAAACTCTTTAGCCACCAGTATGCCCAAGAAATGATTATGGAAGAAAATGAAAGATCCCGTGAATGGGTTGAAAGGCTGCCAGCTGTCATACGAAGTATAAACAGTGTAGTAAGAAGAATAACTGGGAAATCTCCTATTGAAGGAATAAAATTGAAAGAAGTACATGAAAAACATGTGAATTATGAAAGACCTGTTGGATTAGTAGAAGAAAGATTACCAGCAGGTGTGAAAGTTAGATATCTKTATCAACCTGGTGAGTTGGAAGGTGGTGGTAAGAGAGCAACAGATCCTGTATGGTCATTACAAATATATGACATATCAAGAACTGTTGTGTCAGCTAATCAACCTGTATTATATTACCTCTCTGATGGTGCACCGAAAAGAAATTTCGTCAGAGAAGAATTACAAGCCGTACCTGAAGATACTATGCTCCCACCTGTTTCGAAATAAAAATTTTTTAATACAACTTTTTTTTTACCAACTTTTATATATCAACTTTTAAAACCAATGTTTGTATACCAACTTTTTAAATATAATTTGCTTCTCTTAATTTTTTTTATCAACTTTTTGTATACATATTATATCATAATTATCAATTACACCCTCATATCGTCTTATAAATTCACCTTTTATCCGATCATATAGTCATTCATCAATATTTTTATATCCATAAGCATATGTGTGAATACCATCTRCTCGTATATCGCGTTTATCATCGTCTCTCGATAAGGCTATTTTATTTACCGTTTCTGTGTATATTTGATGTTTATGACTCCTTATTACATTCATCTTTCTCATAGTTTGTTGTCCTTCAAATAGACATTTCTTATAATCATCAAATGATATCTCCCTACTAACGACTGATTTTTTAACACCCTTACAACGCTTTCCAACTCTTTCATCATCTGTTTTATACGCATATAGTTTGGATCTAAGACCTATAAATTCTGTTATTTCACGACCAGCTGTTTCATTCTTCATCATACCAAGAACTTTCTTATTAACGAATTTTGCTACTCCTAAGTGGTCTTTCGGATAGTTACTAGTATCGAATTTATCCTCAATATCTTCTTTAATATCTTCATAAGGATCATCTGTCTCGATTTCATACATCAGTGAATCGGTATCCGTGAATAATAGTTGAGCCTTTTCTCCATACTTTTTCTTAATATAATTATAATGGAAGTCATACATAAGATTCTTAGATAGGTCTAAGATACTCATACCTACATATATAGGTTTATTAAACACCAATTCTGTTTTACCCATATGAACAGCAGCTAAATTTTCAGAGAATATTGTTCGTTTCTTATAATTTAGTTGATTTACTGATTTCGCTGCTTGTTTTTCATTTGTTACTAGTCTAATGTCCTGTCTGTTCCGTATGTTCTCCATTGTCTTTCCAAACACGYTATTGTTCATCAGTTTGAAAAAGTCTTTCTCGAAATCATTTTTTGCCTTCGTACGCAATTCCGTATTAAGCCTAATATATGGTTCCAACCATGCAGACTCGTGGAATGTTATAGCTCTATGAATTTTCGTTATTTTCAACCCTAAACTTTCATACATTTTTAAAGTTTTGTGATGTAGTATATATTTTGTTTTATTTTCTAAATTTGGAACTAATTTCTCGACCTTGTTAACCATTAATCTTTCTGGAGCTAATGGATATTCATTATGCAGATTATGTAATTCAATTGGGTATTCTAAATCAACTTCTAGTATACATGGATGTTTCTTCCAATTCTTAATCTCAGTTTTATTCATCCATTTGAAATTATGTGTTGGTAGATTCTGACTCATAGCCCAACCATAAAGATTATTAGCGTCTAAATATTTTATAAATACTGATTTTTGCTTTTTATCGAATGATTTCATATATTTATTGTTAGCTTTTGCATATCGTTTCATTATCGTAGAGATACCACCACGTACACCTTTTTCGATCATCAACAACATATCTATATCTGAAAGCAATTCTAAATTAATTTTCGTCATCTTCAGCATAGCATCCCAAGATAGTCCTGGTGCTGTATAATACCAACAAGGATCTAGTTTATAATATCTCATACATACATCTCTGAAGCTTTCGAACACATCGGTAAGTAGAATTACATCGCTCCTAAGATATAGATTATGATAATCACGTATTGTCTTATGTTTAAAAGTTTTCCATACTTCCTGAGAATGTTTGTAGTCATCATCTGAAATATCACAATCATTCAACTTGCTATAAAATTCATCTTTTGGAGGTAAGAATGTTTCGTCTAATTTGTCTAACGAATTGACGTAATCGTATGGATAAACACCTTTCCTAARCAATAGTTTCAACCTTCTACCATCATAAAACCTATTCATATTTCTAAAACTAGTCTTTCCTAGATTGTTAACTAGGGTGTCCAACGATGAAGACATAAATTTGAAACTATCAATGAATCTTATCTCACGTTTCACATTACACACTTTACCATTCTTAGTTTGAAATGTATCAACTGTTATCTCCTTTTTGAAACTGATATATTTCTCCTCATTGTTGGGTATACAATCTATTTTACCTTCTGTAACACCTAGATTTTTGATAAATAAATGAGCATCATAACCTGATAAATTATGAAATATCACTGGTATATGTTTAGGCATCTTGTAATTCAAATTACAATCGTTATGTGCTGCTCCTCTATATTTACCTGTAAGATGGTCATGATCTAATACTTTATCCCCGTTTAATTCTTTATCACATATATGACATATAATAGCCTTTTCATACGCTTTTTTATCCTTTCTTGTCATCTTTACCACTTTGTTATAATGATATTTCGAATATATATTCCTAACAGTCTCTTCTATTGATTYCATGAACTTTTGACCTATATCCTCATCCTCTGATTTAGCAGTATATTCATATATTTTTGGTTCATATAGACTATCATCATAGCATTTTACTAGATATGAATAACCAGAGGGTTTATGCTTTTGATACTGCTGAGTATATGATTTTTTATCATTTGGTTGACATGAAGAGATATTCTCTGTTAAGCATTCAAAATCACTATATATAACAAATGGAACTCTCATAGAATGATTATAATTCTTAAACGAAAGTGTTGCTCCTTTCTTAGATAACTCTATCTTAACTGAATCATGATTCTTACAATATTCAGAATGTTTATCAAGGCTCTTTTGTGTTTTGTATGAGATGAGGCATCGTTCGCAATAAAACCTTGCATGTTCGTTCTTAGTAACTTGAGATGATATTAGTCTACTCATATTCTTAATCCAACAATAATGATTAGTCTTAGCGTTTGATATCATTAGCAAATTTATAGTATTCTTACCATTTTCATTTCCACTTATTCGAGTAGGATATACTTTATCATTCTCATAACCATATACGTTTATCCTATATTCTGTATTATTCTTCTCAAATATATCGATTTTATCCACTTGTACAGGGAATTCAAGTCCATTCCAGCATAGTTTTTCAGCGTTTGCTATTAATTTTTTTGATATCTTTTCTAGATCTCTATTTCCTGGATAAATAGCTTGTGTCACTGCCCACATGAAACATTTATTATCATCGTTTTTTGGGTTAACGATAGCTTTTTTCAACTTGAGCTTCTGTGGTAGTTCGATCCAAGATTTTGCTGCTATAGGTTGGTATTTATCCACATGAATATCTAAGTATGTCACACTTTTGAATATCCATCCTGAACCTTGATTTTGGAAATTGCTAAACTTTTCCAATATATCATTAATCATTGTTTCATAAACATCATTCATATTCGTTGCTTGTGTAATTATCACTATATTAGTATGAAAATAACCATATGTATACACGATATCATCATCATGAGTTTTCTTATAAAATTCACATTCTAATATTAGCTTCATCTTAATAGGTTTTTCCTGTTTATCGATTAAACTAAAAMCACTATTCCTAATCTTCATAAGGAAGGTCTTAGGATCCATCTTATCAACTCCACTTATCCTATATGATTTTAAAAATCCTTTCATTGCTGATTCTTTCTTTTGTACGATTGTCGGCTTCTTGGTTATATCATAAATATCTTTTACTATTTTCTTTAATGTTTCCAAACGTTTATTTAGGGGTTTCTCAACCTCTGGTGGAACATATGATATAATCCAGTCTGCAAATTCATTTAATTTCTTACGCATAGTATMTGTGGTAGATATAACCTTTTCTTGATTTATATCCTTCATAGATACTTTCATTGGTTTCATAATAGGTACATTAATTTCAGGTACTGATTGATCCAAAATATTACTTGTCATATTATTACTAACATAACTTGTATTCAATTTATATGATTTTAATTCAACCATTTTTTTTTCTATTATACTATATCTCTATTTCTTTAAGCCCTAATCAAATATTTCCTTTTAAGCTAACCTCGTAACCAAGCGTAGAAACCAAACATTGTAACTCAGAGGATGAATCTAGCATTAAAAACCTAGTAATTAAGCTCTCTTATTAAAGACAAAATCCAATTCTAGTTGGTGTCAAATGATAAATCTATTTATTAAATTACACCTTAATGCTAAAAAACTTATTTCCAAGAATTCAAGACAAAATCCACTTCCAAGAATTCAGGGAAAAGTTTCATCTAGTAAATTATACCTTGATGCTTAATGATAAATCTAGTCAAAAAATCCATACTCTGAATCTGAGGCAAAAATCGCCAGAACCGGCCATTCCCTACTACTACACAAGACTATGAATTTTGGGACAGTCTTAAGCTTTAAAGCTCTTCCCGATTCTTTCTAAGGTTTCAAATATTTCAGTAAGATAATAAGTTATATGACTAATATCTAAATTATAACTTCAGTGTATCGATAAATGTGAGACAGAAATGTCTCGATCAACCATGATTAATGGCCTTGATTAAAGGCATTAAGTGAAACTCAAAGAGTAAGAAGAACAAAATAAATAAATTATCAGTTAAACTTCTAGGATTTTACCTACGGGCCACAACTGACCCCTAATGTATAATTTGTCTGGCTCCGCTTTGCTGAAGTACGCTGGAATTGAGTTCTCTCTAGCTTTTTTTAGTGTTGCCATCTGAGCGCGCCTTCTTATAAGTATTTCTTGTGGCAAATCCACGTACATTTGGTACTTGGTTCCTTTAAGCTCCCTTCCACGAGACATAATGCTCTCTGCATCTTTTGCTCTTAGGAATCTGGCTAGTATTGGTCTTGGTCTATCTGGTTTACTTCTCCTGTCTCTCCTGGCCGGATTACGGTGGACCCTTTGTATTTCTACGGTGTCTGTAAGATTAAGAATTTCCGCAGACTAGAGGCCCCGCAGGCGCCATAAATATTTAACATCAAGAATCAGTCGAGCGTGCATCATTAACTTGTA